CAGATCGTCCCCCAAGCCACTCTCGTTGAAAAACATAAAAGACGTCTATAGACGTCTTTGGCAGCCAATGAGTTAAAGATGTCTAAACTCGGGGTAGGATCTCCAGTCCAGGGTCAGAATTTACTCCTGGTTTTACTGTGTTTGCAGGGCTGGTCTTAGATGGGGGCAGCGACAGCCTGTACGGGGTCTTGTTTGTTAAAGAAATCCTGCAGGACTCGCTGGCCTCTAAGGAGGGAAGCCTAAGACCACTGGACTTGATTCATTACATCAACGGCGCGCCCACCCAGGAGCTGACGCTGAGCGAGAGCTCCAGGCTGCTGGAGCTGGCCCTCAGTGACCTCACGCTCAAAGCCACCAGGTAGTCCCAGCTCTCATGGATCCCAGGCCCCTTGGCTCAAAGCTGCCACTCACCGTCCTCGTTTTACTTCCCTCAGGGATGGAAAGCCTGTGTCTCCTGAGCAGAAAAGCGTCTCTTTTCTGAACAATAACATCTCCTCCAAGCTGCCATCCAGCATGAACGGTTTGTTTTGCATCCGAGAGACTTTTTGGATTTTCTTTTCTTCAAGTCTTTAGTGTCGTTGTTTTGTGTTCAAGGCTTCCTGAAAGGGGGCGATTCCAGGGATACGGAGGCTCTGGCCGGCCTTTGTCCTTCAGATGTGAGTCTGTTGTGAAGGCCACCGTGTTTTTTCGTGAAGTTTTGTGAAGAGAAAAGTGGCGAAGATGCACTGTTTTGCTGCATGTCGGTTTCAGGAGGACATCATAAAGCTGGATCTTGACAAGCCGCCGTCGGGAGGTCTGGGATTCTCTGTCATCGGAGGGGAGAGGGGGATCTTCGTGAAGTCCATCACACCAGGAGGGGTCGCAGAGTCCTCGGGGGAACTGCAAGTCGGAGACAGGCTGCTGAAGGTAAGCCCCTTGGGACCGCCAGTCCCCAGAATCCCGTGGGCATGTTTGAGTCACTTTACAGAGCTTTAAGACGAGTATAGGGTATTTTCGAAAGTTTCACTAAAAATCCGTTATAGGTTGGAGCTCTGTGGCTGACGCGTGGTCCAGGATCCAAAAAACTATAGCTTCCACTGACGTCACGTTTTTGCAATTTTATTTTAAAACAAAGGCGATAACAAAAAAACGGACACAAATAAAATATATACCTCCTAAACTTTCACAAATCTAAATCTAAAGTGACAAAACGAGCACGTCACAAGCATAACACGGTCAGAAAACCGTGAGGCAACCTTACTCCTGCCGTGTTAATTTCACAATGGCGCATAATTACAATGTTATTAAAGGTGCATTAAGTAACGTAAATATTTTAAATTCACATTTTTAACTTGTAAATGTTTTTAACTCAAATGATTAATGTTACTCATTAATTTAAATGACATATCAAATTCACATAAACGAGTAAATTCAAAATACACATAAATATACATAAATCAGCATATGGCGCCTACAACGAGTTTCTTGCTTTTCGTAGGTGAACGAAGCCGTGATGTCGGGAGTGTCCCACACCAAAGCTGTCACCACCATCCGGAAAGCCAAAGGCCGAGTCCACCTGGTCATTTCCAGGCCCTCCGACCAGAATCCCAACACCTACCTGGCCTATCTGTCCAGGAATCCTGACACCTGCAACGGCAACGCGGGTACAGACGGACACTTCCCTGTTTGGTTCGATCATCCCCAGAGTTGGCGAGCTGTTGTTTGTTTTCTCTGTCTCGTGGGCCAACCTGCTCCTCTTTGTGCTTCTCCCAGACCTGAGTGAGGACAGTGGAGTGAAGACCAGGCTGTGCACTCCCCTGGATGACCGGAAATCAGGAGGCGTCCCGTCTATACCTCCCATAGGTACCGTTTGCCACGAGGGCTCTCGGATATCATCCAAATTTCACCTTAGAAATACCGTAAACCCGTAAACTCTGTGAGTTAGAGCCCGTGCTTGTTTGGCAGATTATGAAGACGGTCCAGAGGATCTGAGAAGGGATGGGGAGCTGTCCGAGGACACGGACTGCGACGGGTCGTCTTTACCGGAGGACTCTCCTTTGGTACAAATCAAAGCAGACAAACTTTTCACAGTAGGATCAAAATGGTGTTTTTAATTAAACTCCTCATTGTCTTGGCCTGCAGACCTCTCGTAAAGTGACCTGGCACGAGGAGAGCGTGGACGATCCAAGAAATGAAAAGTATGTCTCATGCTTTTGATTATTTTTCTGGTTTAAACAGTAAAAGAAGCATCCATTCATGTTTTCCATTGACTCCCCAGCTATCTGCAGATGGGGGCTGGGCAGCCGGAGGAGGATGAAATCACCTGGGGAAGCGATGAACTGCCCATTGAAAACTTGAACTCCAAAGCAAAAGATGGTAAAAACAAACGTTTATCTCTATTTTTTAAATCTAAACCTGAGGATGAGGGCTGGACTGGTCTCTGTTTGGGAGCGTTGAGCAGACAAATGTCACCTAACAAAGGAATGAGGGGTTTTCAGGCACCATTTCTTTTGTCCTCAATTTGTTCTTCACACATCAGGGCCGATAATCACAGAGGACGAGCTGACCTCTTTGCCGCTGGTCAGAGTGGTCCCGGATGGCCAGTACACGGGATCGAAGCTCAACACGGTGGTCCGCATGATGAGGGGGCTTCTGGAGCAGAAGGTCCCCATGCAAGAATTTGAGGTGAGGCCCCGACTTTCAGCACCTCTGAGTAAAGTTTCATGGTCTGAGTTCAGCTGCTGTTCACGGAGAGCGTTGTACCCTCTCTGTATCTGGAATTTACAAACGCCCCCTGAATGCCTCATTTTAGCATGTTATACAACAATGAGAGATAAAAAACAACTTTAAAAAAATGACCATCTCTCATCCACGGTGGCTTCAAAGGGAGCGGGTCTTTTCTCCAGGGCTTCACCCACCAAGTTTGAAGCAGATTTTATTGTATTTTCGTTCTTATTTTCAGAAGAACTAAACCCCTGTTTTCCTCTGGCAGAACCTTCAGAACCTCCAGCCGCTGGATGACTGCTTAATCGGGCAGACAAAAGAAAACAAGAAGAAGAACCGCTACCAGAACATTGTTCCCTGTAAGATAAAGCTACACATCTTATTCCTCTTTCTGGCTCTTTTGGAATGGACATGAGCCTTTAATAAAAGCTCTGTGCAGATGCCCTGATGCTAATTAGCAACACCAATCCATAAAAGGTCTTTAATGATAGTTAGTTTTTTTTTTAAGTCATGACAGAAAACTGATTTTCCTCATTCATTTAACCCTTTAAAGCCTGATCCAAGAAAAATAGGACGAATTTTGGATTTTAGGAGTCTGAAGTGTTTCTTTGGCCCCTCAACAACAAATGAAGAAAAAAATACAAAAAATGATTTTGATGAAATTAGCGTGCAATAAGTCAAAAATATATTTTCCTGTAGTCTTCTACTGGCTGTTATCAGGTATATCTGAATGTGTACAACAGGGGTTTGAGCAAAGCTTTTACCACTGAATGATGCAAAAAGTCTCAGATCCAAAAGACTTCAGAAACCGTATGAATCAAATATGATACATTTGGCATATTCCCTCCAGTCGACACAACTCGCGTCGTGCTGGGCAGAGACGG